TTTCCACATCAGGCTGACACACCATACATGAACTGCCCCTGCCCATTTGTGCCAAAGTCTTTCAATGTTTTGTCCATTTAACCACAGAAGAAAGGATACATTTTCAAAGTTCTCTTTTCTCATACTAAAAACAAACGAACAAAACAGACCCATCACCTGTTGGTTGAGAACTGCGTCTACTGAGAGCACTGGCAGCTAAAGTACCATAACACACCGTCATTTTTGTTCCAAGCCTAAGCAGAAATGCCACGTTGGCACAGCCAAACCGGTTCAAGAAATGCAGTATGCATTATGGGAGAACATGCTGCTCGAGGACGACTTCAGATGAATACTGCCTTCTTCTAGCTGCCTTATTTCAGCCCATTGCCCTGCTCTTTGGATGGGTTCTGGGCTAACTTCAATAGTCATTTGGAAGACAGGCCATCATAGTTGCACAGCTCCCAGCAGCTGTATGACCAGTGCTGTTATCAACCTGAAGGCAATGAAACCAGTCAGCATTCAGATCAAAGCATGGTTATACCAAGCCAAGCCCATACTGTGTCCAGAAGTACTCCGTCAGCCTCAGAATACTTCTTCCAATTTAAAAAGCTTTGCTTCATTCTAGTCCTGCTCTGTTTCAAATGCCCCATTGCCAATAAGCCTTGCACTGGTCATGCTGGTGTCATGGGAAACGTCCCAGACTTTCAGCTTTAAAGTTCCTTCCTGAATTATCTTAGAATCACAGAATGGCCTGGGTTGCAAAGGAGCACAGTGCTCATCCAGCTCCAACCCCCTGCTGTGTGCAGGTCACCAACCAGCAGCCCAGGCTGCCCAGAGCCACATCCAGCCTGGCCTTGAATGCCTGCAGGGATGGGGCATCCACAGCCTCCTTGGGCAACCTGTGCCAGTGCATCACCACCTTCTGAGTGAAAAACTTCCTCCTCATATCCAACCTAAACCTCCCCTGTCTCAGTTTAAAACCATTCCCCCTTGTCCCATCACCATCCACCCTCACAAACAGCCATTCCCTCCTGTTTATCCGCTCCCTTCAAGTACTGGAAGGCCACCATGAGGTCCCCCCAAAGCCTTCTTTTCTCCAATCTAAACAATCCCAGTTCCCTCAACCTTTCCTCACAGGAGAGGTGCTCCTGCTCTAGGATCATCAAATTATCAAATTATAGTTCTTAAGAGTTTAATACCCAGAATATTTCATGTATAACACACAGAGGTTATCATCACCTTGTCCACAGCCACACGCTGCTGCTTTAAAAAGCAACAAAAGTATTCCAAGTATCCTCACAGTTCAGTAAAAACTCACACAAAGGTTTCTCAGAAGTCCCCAAGACAGCAGCCTTGCTAACAGCAGTCCCCACAGGATCAGCACACAAGACTGCTTTGTGCAGTGCCTTTACATTAGGATTACCTTAATAGTTTTTTAGCAGGAGAGTTCTTGACAGCCTTATGAGCCTGCTGCAACTAAAATTGTATCTTTTTGCTAGCAGAAACCATTGTTTTCTATGCTGCTCTCAAAATATGATTAATTATTATGAACACAAATCTCACAGCAATCTTAGGAGGAAAAAAAAGAAGGTGTAATAATTAACTGATGAACACGGCCAGCCTGGGCGATCCATGAGAGTCTCTGCACCCCTTGTACCTCTCCTTGTACCTTTCTCCTCAAAGCTTTGAGTAGGTTAATAGGGAAATGTAGCTCTTCAAAGGATTTTAGCTATCAGCCGATAGGAGCAAGCTGGGAGATGTTTGACACGAGTGACTTTTTTCAGGTTTCTGAAAGGAGCAGCACTGTGTTATCAGTCCTGCCCAGCCAGGCAGTGACACGTTCAGTGCTGAGAATGGAGCGAGTCACAGCTCATCAGATAACACCCTCCTTTAGGATCAAAATGAAATTTAGACCCAGAAAGCACTTTTGAAACCTCTCTCTTCAACAAGGCAAAGATGACCTGTGCAGTGCTATTATCTGGAACAAGAAATTAGTGTACTGTCTCGCTCTAATGGGGCAATGTTTCAAAGAGCATGCTCTACAATGGGTTATTTTCTCCAAGAAAACTAGGAAATCCAATGACTGCCAGGAAACTGGAACTGTTTCACTGGAACAGGTTGCCCAAGGAGGCTGTGGATGCCCCATCCCTGCAGGCATTCAAGGCCAGGCTGGATGTGGCTCTGGGCAGCCTGGGCTGCTGGTTGGTGACCTGCACACAGCAGGGGGTTGGAGCTGGATGAGCACTGTGCTCCTTTGCAACCCAGGCCGTTCTGTGATTCATCCTATGAACCCTAGTACTACTGCCAAGCAGGCCCTGAGCAACAAGCAGCTGGAGTGCCAACAGCACCAGGACACAGAATCACACAGCATCCTCCCCAGAGACAAGAGGACCACTTGAGAATCGCGATATAAAGCAACACGTCTCTTATGAAGACACTCGTTAATCACAGCTTAATGAAGGGTGACAGAGCGGGAAGAGGGACAGCAAGGAGATGTTGCCCACACACCACAGGAATCCAAATACACCCGTGCCCTGCTGACACCACAGAACAGGGACTGCGTGCTGCTTGAATCAACAGCTTGCACTGAGGTAATCTCCTAAGGTGTGGAGGTCAGCAAAGCACTAGGAGTAATCAGGGCTAATGAGCAACCCACTGCTACTGGGAAATGAAAATTGCCATAAGGCACTGGAGAGTATCATGTGAAAATTGCCCATAAATTTCCAATGGCTAAATGCTATCTCATTTCACTGAGGGTGAAGTTTTCATTGTAGTTGTATTCTAAAGACTGAAGGCACATGGCTTTTGCACTTACTTAGTCCTGGATGAGAGAAACAAAAAGCACACGTCTGAGCTCAGCCTTATCCTCCCACCCCACTGCAGTTCTTGTGCTGGAGGCTGCAGTGTGACCAGCAAAATGAAGGGATGTCACTGCCCACAAAAGCCACTACAAAACCACTCAGCCCTTCTCCAAACACAGAGGTGATGCCAAACAGATGGCTCCGGACCTGGATCTGCTCCTACCACCCAAATACCCACAGCAGCCCACAGCCGCTTCTACAGCCAATACTTCAGTGCCAAATGCTGAAAGGATTTTCCAGAGACATGCATGACAGGCTAAAGACAATGCACTTCAATCCCAAAATGTTATCCGTCACCCACCAGCCTCCCCTAAGCATAACCAGCCTGTTTCATGCAAAAACTATGCCAAGAAAGGTAAGGCAGGACGTCGCTTTTCTATGAAGCATTCGAGTTCAGTTTGCTGCATCTAAAATAGTAATAACAATAATAACCCAGAAAGTAACACAACTGACATTTGAAAGATTTTGATACTTAACCCAGAGGGAGAGAAACAGCATGGAGCTTCAGACAGGACAGGAATGCTGCTGAATGAAATAAAGCTTTTCTAAGTCCAGAGAAGAAAGGGGTTGGAGACTGCCAGCATTTTTGCTCCTCCAGAACAACAAAAAACAAATGAGGAAAAAAAAAAATTAATACAACTGTAGATGCAGTCTCAAAATGTTAAAGAGCCCCAGCAGCCATAATATATTCTGGCTCCAAAACAAATTGTCTCCACAGTGCTATAGGATTTAAGACAAGCACATTTTGTCAGTGGATTTAGCATGATGAATCAGGTAAATTGGAGGCTGAATCATCATTGTGTCCCCAGGCATCTGCAGTGAAATAGAAAGGGAGGAAAATAAAAAATTAAAGAAGCATCTAGAGGATGCTCAGGAAATCACAGGCACAGGCAATAGTGGAGAAAAAAAATCTCACTGATATGGAACTTCTGCATCCTTTTTTTTTTTTTTAAATGATAGGGAGTTCATGAGCTATTTAGAGAGACAGACAAGGGGATTTTGTACTGGAGGATGAACCCAATGGGGATCGGAGCACCAGAAAGCAGACAGTGAGAAAAAACAGAAAATTGAAAAAGAGAAAGGAAATCTTGGTAAGGAATTAGACAGAGGGGACAAACTGCAACCTCAGGAAATGGGAAAGCAGGGACCTGAAATGACTCCTGCAGTGATGGGAGGGCTGCAGTGCAACCTGTGGGCACCTCAGGACATGGATCTGAAGCTCAGACACCCAGAATTCAGTCCAATTGTCTTCCAGATTTTGTTCTGTTTTCATTTTATTTTCCTGATTCATCGCAAGAAAAGACCACGAGAAGCTCAGAAGACCAGGATGCCTTATTGTGCTGAGTGATCAAAGGCAGCACCTGGAAAAGACCTCTCACATCACCAAGTCCAGCCATCAGCCCTCCTAGAGCAGGCACCGAGAGAGTTCTCAGATCTCACTGCTGCGCATGGGAAAATGGCACAGCAGGACTTCAAGGCTGGATGTGGCTCTGAGCAGCCTGGTCTCGTGGTTGGCCTCCCCACCCATGGCAGCAGGGTTGAAAGTGGATGATCTTTGAGGTCCTTTTCAACCCAGGCCATTCTGTGATGACTTCTTCCTTCTGACCCAACAGAACCGAGCTGCTGGCTGAGCAATGCCAGGTATCTATCATAAAGGTTGGGTGGGTTCCTCCAGAAAACAACAGAAATCTCTTCTAACAACTCATGCTGCATATTATGCACATCATGGGGGTCAAATGTAAGTGCTACATGGCAGCACAGCCCCACGTGGATCCCATTTCAGCACCGACTCACTTAGGAAGTTCCTTAAATTTACCATACCATCATTTCAAATACTTGCCATTGGAATTCAGCATCTGCACTTCACATCTATGTGCCCTCGGTTTATTGAAACTGTTGTGCCCAGAACAGCACACAGGGCTACCAAGGACTTTCCCTGGGGAGGACCGTGGGCAGACACATTCCTCTGTGCCCACCTGTGTGAGAACACAGAGCGCTGCCTTCAGAAGCACAGCAGCCACTCTTTTTTCAACAAGCAAAACGTGAGCTGGGGCCATTCACATAACAGAGAGAAAAGCAGAAAGAAAACTTGTTCAGATCTCGTGTTTGAATGCAGACGGCAGGAGCAGCCATCTACAGCCATCCCAAACTCACCCACAGCCAGGCACAGGGTGTTCCTGTGTCTGTGTCCCATGGAGGTGGGGTGCCTGTCCCTGGGGATGAATGCTCCTCATGGCACGTCCTGCCATCATTATGGGGTCAGTGCTGGGCGCTCACCTCCCGGTTGGCGAAGCATCATGGAGAGATGGGAGGAAAAAAAGGAATATATACATGAATGTGGGAAAGAACACGTGAAACTAGAGTACATAATACGCATTATGTATAATAATAGTAATATACAATCAGATAATACATATCACACATCATATGGTAACTCATTACTAACTGAGGGCAGTATTAACACACTGCTGTATTAACTGCATCAATATATGATGCTAATAATATTGCACCTATGTACAATACCTACACTAAGTACATACCATCAAAAAAGAGTTGAGGCTGGTGGAGAATTCAGAGAACATCATCAGCCAAAATAACTGAAGGCAGCTCCTTCACCACAAGAACCTACAGCCCCTCAGTGCCCCCTCACAGTGTGTGAGGTGCCGCTGCTGTGTGCTCATAGAGGCAGAGCCAGGGCATCCCACTGCATCAGAAACATCTCCATGTTGGGCACCATTGCTGTGAGCATCAGTTCTCCTGGACAGATGCCATTTGAGACTGTGTTCTGCTGTCAGTGTTAGTGATAACAACTCAGCAGCAGCATTTCACAGTGTGCAGTGATGCCCTGGCTGAGAACATCCTGGATTTCACAGAGAAAAGAGCCTTATGCAAACCAAGGCTCTGCAGGTCTATGGAGGGGCTTACTGCTGCGGTGAACTGCCGGTGCAGGAGGATCACTGAGATAAAGTGGCTTCTGGGTTGTCAGGAATTTCCTTTCAGGTCTCTGGAAATAGCTCTGAGAGGAGCACTGAGAAGCTCAGGCTGAGCAGGAGGGGATTTTCTCTCCCATAACACTCTGCAGCTGCTTCCAGGCACCAAATAATATGAAATTCCCAAAGGTAAGAGGCTGTGCTGGCAGCAAGCCTGCCTCAGCACCCAGCTGCTGGCTGGAACCTTTGACACCACAAGGTTTTCCCTTTTAGCTGTGACTACAAACAACCCTGGAAGGTCTCCCATGGTGTTAATGGCTCTCATCTGCCACTTAAACACGGAGCCACGTTCCATCTTCTCTGTGATCACACAGTAAACGAGACCCAGAAAATAACTTCATTTCTGATGTCTTTCTGAACTTTTTGTTATTATTGAGTCCTGGGTTTGGTAATAGCTCTGTGATTTAAAGCTATTATTCAGGTTAGTTTCCACAACCTCAAGCAGCCACCACCATAAGTGAGTATTGATGGTGATGCAAGTGTATAAGCAAATCTACTTTTAGGTGCATTTCTGTGTTTTACAAATGCATGGCACCTGCTGAAAGCAAACAGCACTCCTCTGCTGGGCTCAGCAGGGCAGTGACTGCTTTGGAGCACTTCTACTGCACACAAGTGTTTTTATCCATGCATGAGTGCATTTATACAGACATTCACACTCCCTGCAGAGTGTTGATGGAGCCCTGCAAATAATACAGTTGACAAGCCATCTCATTTTCCAACTCAAATTCTACCCACAGCTTTGACTTGCTGCCCTGCAGCCTCTGACAGGAAGCTTGTAGCCCTCATTACTTAGCATGCCCTTGGTCATCTCCTCAAGGAAAGCATCCCATGGGGGGAAATGCCATGTATTCCTCACCCCAGCATCTCCAAATGCCAACGATGGTGCATCTCACCTTGCACAATGCACAGAGATGTCCCACTGTCACAACCTGCAGTTTCACAGCACTGCCCAGAGCAGAGAGGTTCCCCTTAAAGCTGAAATGCAATTGGTGCCATAACTTTTCCAGCGCCGCCGCTGAAGTTTCTGGACCAAAAAAAAAGAAAAGCACTGTTGTGATGCTAAAGCAGATTTCTCCTGTGATGCTTTTAGTAGGGAGATTAATGTAGGTGCTCATAGAGTTCAGCTGCTAGTCTGAAAGCTGAGATTAATCACCCCTCTAAAGCCACCACTTGTAAGAAGTCCATCAGCATCAATACTCCAATGCAGCAGCCCTTTGCAGGGCAGACATTGACAGATTTGGAGGAACATTCTCACTTCCCCAGGTTGAATAGCTGCACACAACCAGGAGTTATGCAGATTTTTGGCACATTTTACTCCGGAGCACCATGTGGGTGAGGCAGCCCCCAGGGGCCAGCTGTCCCCTTCCATCCATACAGACCACACACCCGGAGGAGGAACACGAAATGACATTACCACATCACACAAACAGTCCTCAGAGCTGTCTGTCAGCGGCATAAAATCCAATGACATTGTGAAAGCTGAGGTGCAAGAAGGAGCAAAATTCCAGGCTGGTTTTCATTAAAAAAGAAAAAGGACCTTGGAGGGTGACTCAGGTGTCCTTTGTCACATCTGTGGGTCCATGGAGGGTCTTAATACCATCAGTGACACGACTGTGAGACAGTTCTCCTAGTGGGAAGTACCTGAAAGGGCTGCAAGGAAGAAGAGGACAGACACATGAGCGGGGGCTGTTGTGAAGGAGAAGGGGAGTTGGTTCCAAACTCAAAAGAGGGGAGGTTCAGGCCAGGTATAAGAAAGAAGTGTGTTGCAATGGGGACAGTGAGGCACTGCATGGGCTGCCCAGAGAGGTGGGGGTGATCTCTGCAGAGAGCCCAGGGCAGGGGATGGGTTCTGAGCACTGATGGAGCTGTGGGTGTCCCTGTGCATTGCAGGGGGTGGCATCAGGTGGCCTTTGGAGGTCCCTTCCGACTCAAACCATTCTGTGAAGCAGGTGGGCACCTCCAAAACACGAGCTTCAAGGTGCAGACCCTTGGGCCCACACCACAGCTCCCCACCACCCAAAGGAAGGGTCACATCCCAGGCTCTGTGCCATAGGAACAGCCCGTGGGCTGGACTGGCAGCACGGGCTCAGATGGGTTGCTGCTGTTGGGAAAATAACAGCTTCTTCCGTGTATCCTCCTAAAATTAGGAATGTTTTACCCTAGGAAACAAATCCCTTCAGAGAAAAAAAGCAAGCAGAGAAAGAATAAGAATATCTTTTCATGGATAGGGAAGCAATCTTATTATTGCAGAACTATTACAACTTAGAGGTTTCTATCAAAAATTTTTCTAAGGGAGATAAATATCCCATTAAATGCCCAATTCAGTCCCAGAACTCCTCCATTTTAAAATCACCCCAGAGGTCAGAGGCACACATACAATTATCTCTACATCTCACTCTCTCTTACAAACCCTCCTATCGAAAAGGGAACAGTGATTCCATGCAGGGTTACTCTGGCTTCAAGAAAGACACAATTTTAGCAGGGAAGGCCCCTCAGTAGTGATGCTGAGAGATGGGGGTGGGTTTTTGTTTCAGAGAGCTCTACCAGGGTTACATCCGATTTTGTTAATGCAACTCCTGCTGTAGTCTCATCTCCATTATAAAAAGCATGTATTAGAGATGCATTAGAGCTATGTATTTCTATTTGTGCCAGTTGGGTAGGTTTAAATATGCCTTGGTTTCAATCTCATTTGTAAAAAGCCACATTAGAGCGATGCCTTCATCTCTCTTTGCATACATGGTGAGCCCTCAGAGACAAGGCAGGATATTGAAGAGAGCAGATCAGGGCTTTTTTTTTTTGTTCCTCAAGAGAGAGTTCAGTACAATCAACAGTTGATTTACATTTTTGAAGATCATCCAAAATAATTGGTATTTAAAAAAATTCCAGGGTTAACATCTTCTGTTATGGATTATTTTAAGCAATGTACAACAGTAACAATTGAGAAAAACATTTTTCCAGTTGGCTTATTCTTAACCTCGGTGCAATTTTTCCCAATTACAACCAGAACCTCCTTATATGTTCTACATTTCTGCTGATTTCACTCATCCTGAATTGCTACAGAGCTAAAAACCTCTGACAGAAATCCTATTTCTTTAAGATTTAACTTCTATTGACTCACAGCTCTGGTGTTTTTGTTGAAAGAACACGAATTCTACAATCCTCTTATTTTCTCCTGTAATAGGGGCAGAGAAATTCAACTCCTGATTGTGCAGTCTGCCATGCAAGCGCATGACTTGCATTTTCCTCTCCTGTGTATACACAGTTCTGTGATCTGTGGCAAGTAATTGGGAAATGAGATCATTCCTCATTACTGTATTGGGCTCCTGGTGCAGTACCAGGGCACCATGTCTTTGAATCCGCTCCATGTGGATGGCCCTAAAGCATGGAAGAGCCACAAGGTTTCCTTGGAAGCACAGCAGCATCATGTGGTAGCCAAAGATGCTCTGTTTATTCATTTCTTTCTTATTACTTAATTTCTAAACGTAGTAGGACCCTTTGGAGAGGCCCAAACTGCAGCTGGCACCATTGCAATGAGAGAAGAGCAGTGCAGGATGCCATTGGGATACCAGCAGCACCAACACGAGCAGTGGCCATGAAACACCACTTAATTTATGCTTTCCCAAAAAGGCAAAAACTGCTGCGGTTTGACTGCCTCTAATATCCAATTATCTCCATGTTTCACTGAAGATGGCTGGACAGAGTCTGAGCTCTGATTTCTAATTCCCAGCTCTCCCTGAAACCATGTGCTGTCTTTCAAGCCTGGCGTTAGCAACTTCAGAGCATCCCCAGGTGCCACGGTGGGGAGGAGTGAGGCAGCAGCTCCTCCAACACACCGCCCTCATTGCTCTGGCCTAGAACTTAAATTTGAATATAAAAGACACCACTGAACAAAGAATTACTTATGTGATTCTCTGATCCTCATTCCACACAGCAGAAATCCTCAGGAAGACGAGAGTTCTCCTCCTGCCCCTTTTGCAGCTGATAGCAATCAGGAGCATAGGAGGGCACACAGCTCAGCCCGCATCCCAGAAGTGCATCTTGCTCATAAACACTTTCTTCCAAGAGCTTCAGAATTCAGCTCTGCTCCTCAATCCACTGCCACACCAATGTGGTCCTGGGAGATTCATGAGTGGCACAACGCATCTTCTTCACTTTTGCACCAAGAGCTGCACCTCCCTTTACCCTCCCATGCTGCAGTCCATCCGTCACCTCAATGGAAGTCCCCACTTCATGTGGTTTTCCAAGCAAGCAAATTTTGCTACGGGATGAGCTCACAGCAGTATCAGTTTTCTTCAGGAGTTTGTAGTTTTGGGGTGTGGTGCATCACACCTGCCCCCCAACAGCAGAAATAACAAATAACAACCATAGCAGAGTGCATCCCCAAAGGTGAGAAACAGGGGATGAATAGCAGGGGCTAAGACATTCTCTGCCAAAACTGGTAAGCATTTTGAAGTATCTACACCACAGTGCCACAGTCACAGTGTGCCCACATCCCACCAGCAGCGCCCATGGCAAGGAGCAGCCCCAGCTGGTGAGCAGCAGTGTTGCCTCCTCTCCCCACACCCATGAGATGCAGACAGGATGGGGTACATGGATTTGGGGCCAATTAACCCATTCCAGCCCCTCTGACAAACACATAGAGCATTTTTGCCAAGGGTGTCCAACCATGACGTACACTTTCCATGCTTGAAAGCAAATGGCATGAGGGTGTCCAAAGACACTGCAACTTAAGCAGTCATCCATCATTCATTTATGCTTTCACACCAACTATCCCATGCTATCTCAACAAAAACCATCTTTGGCACAATGGAAGCTCAGATTTTCCTTGATAGATCCATCCTCATGGAGCTGTAGGCACCTCTCTCCACAGATCCATCTCCACTCAGCATTTCAGCAGCACACAGGCTCTGCTGTTCCTTTTTCTTTTCTTTTCTTTTTTTAAATCTAAATCATTCCCTCTGTATTTCCTCAACACAGAAATAACAGGAACTGTGCACTGGTTTGGGGGTTTCTCTTCAATTTTAAATTTACTTTTAAATTGTGACCTTGAATATCAGGATTTTGCCCAAAGCAAGGTTTTATTGCCATGTTATCAACTCCAGAAAATAAAACCCTCCTTTTATAAAATGTAACAGGCCTTTAATTAACCATAATGATAGTTCTGGGTGCCATTATCACACATTTTAGCTACAATGAAAAGCTTTTAGGAGAGATGACAGTAAGTTCAGCCCATATTTCTCTCCTTTCCCATGCCCAGAGTTATGGAAGGAAGCACTCAGCTCCCTGTGCAAAATGCAGTATGAGAAGTGCAAGAATTTGGCCAAAGGATCAAAAAGGAAAACTAAAATGAAGTACAGTATAATCTTTTACATCAGTATCCTGAAGAGAAAATGGCTTTGGGAAGGACAGCCCCAGGTGAGACCTCCTCCTGCCCACATCCTGGTTCTGTTTTCTATTTATGATTTTCCAGTAATTCTAGGCCCTGCTTCCCATTCTTCAGAATAACAGCTGGGTAAGAACTTGCATCTCCTGTCACACCAGTTGCAGGAGGTGGAATGGGCAAACCTCCCAGATAAACCCTCTTTACTGAAAAGCATTCCCACTCCCATGCATCAGCCCTCTGCGTGCCCTGGCAGAGGGGAACTGCTCACCACCAACTCTGCTTTCTGAACCTGCAGTCTGTTAGCCAAGCATGAAGTAGCTGGATTCCCTCTTCCCTCTGCAAGTCACTGGGGCAAGCCAGAAAGCTGCAACCACGTGGCCAAGTCACCACCCGAGAACACAGCACCCATCTCACAAAGGGTTGTCACCCTTCACACGTTGGTTGGGGTTGGAAGGGAGATTATCTGGTCTGACCCAACTCCTTGGTTGTACCAAAGTGTCCTCAAACCTCCTCCTACCGAGGACAGCACCTTTCATTAACCAACATTGAAGAATATCAAACCGTGATTTATTTTGATTGTAGCCAAATGCATCCCAGGGTCCCATCCCCATCAACACCCACCTGGTTCCTTGTCCAGGCACAGGACGCAGCGTGGTCATGACCTCCAAAACAGATGCATGTGGGATTCTCCTGTCCCATCCAGATCTTCTCCGAGATTCCTCAAATGCAGCCAAATCTTTCAGTAAATGAATCCTAGCAGAGACTACTTCAACTTTACTAACAGTTGCTGCCAAAGACGTGATGACTTTAAAAAGCACATCTACTTCTTGGACTTGATTTGTATTTTTTAGGTCACTCTGTAGCAAGTAATAGTGGTTACTTATGTACTTTCCTAATTAGCTGGGCAGATAATCCACATGATATCCAGGTAGGCTGCTTGTGGAAGACTTTGGCTGAGCTGTTGCTCCCCAGAGCCACCAGCCCCACGTCCTGTAGGATGCCAACAGAGTGAGAAATATCAGCTGCAATTTATTTTCTTCCTCCACATCAACAGCTTTCAAAGAAGAACAAACTTAGGCTGCAGCACCCCAAGACTGCTCCAGCACCAAGCAGAAAACTCCTGCTAGACTTGAAATTAATGTTTTCATTCTCTAGCAACACCAGTACCTCAGCTGGGGAAATAACAGAGATATCAATGTAAAACACAGTACTCAACCAGGAGGAAAGCATTTCAGTATTATGCAGAAAAGTCTCTCAAAGGGCACACTGTGATAAAAAATACATATGGTTAAAAAGGAATCGTACTTTAATATGCTAACCAGAAATGGAAAAGAATCAATAGCAGCAATTTAAGTTTGCAACCAGGAAAAACAGATATGGTGGAGTGGATGTTCAGAACGGCCCTCTGGCTGCTCAAAATGCTTCATCAGGTATTCTCATATGTTCGATTCGAATAGGTACAAGATACAGGATATCAAGGGGATGGTGAAAATCCAAAGCTGCGCTGACTCTTCTGGTCAGCTACACACGTGCAGGGCCAGGCCAACAGCACAGAACAAAGATCACTTTATTTGCTAAATAGCTTAGCAGTATGCAAGAGAGAAGTGACTGATTATTAATATTTGCATTTGAAGGCAAGTCCATCTCTAACAGTTGTCAGCTCAAGTAAATGCTCTCCTCCAAAGGAACTTCCTTAGTGCTACTTCCATCTAATCCACTTTCCAAAGACTCGTTCAAATGAAGGATTCCCCAAGCATCCTTCTGTATGTGCAAAGAGGATCCCTCCTGACAGCATCTTTAGTAACTTGTAAGATCTTGAAGCTCAGAAACCATATCTCTAGCACTGGCAGCTCAAATAGTACATGTTATCAGCTTCAAAGTGCTTCGCCCTGGGGTAGAGCAGAGAACTACTTTTGCACACCTCTGCAATTAAGAAAATAAAAAGCTTTAAAAAAAATGTAACTTTTTGTACAATGTGAAAACGTATTTTCCATTTTGCTACTGCTACAGGTACTTCATTTGTACACAGCTAAGTCAACACATGGCTCACTGATGCTTTTTCATCCATATCCATGCTCGTGATGCAATGTGTTTCCACAAAACTCAATGGTGAAGGCAAACATTAGGAAAAAAATATATATGTGTCAGAAGGCCAAAGAGCTTTGCTACAGCCAACAGCATATTCCAAAGCCAGGTTTTGAAGGGAAAAAGATCAGGATTGCAGAGGCAGCTGAGGTGCCCAAGGAGGCTGTGGATGCCCCATCCCTGCAGGCATTCAAGGCCAGGCTGGATGTGGCTCTGGGCAGCCTGGGCTGCTGGTTGGTGACCTGCACACAGCAGGGGGTTGGAGCTGGATGAGCACTGTGCTCCTTTGCAACCCAGGCCATTCTATGGTTCTGTGACTCTATGAAGGGCCCAGGACTCAGGGAACACTGTAGGTTAAATACCTTTATGAAATGATGCTGTGTTTTTGAAATGGTTTGGAGAAAATCATATTTAATGAACACCTATAAAATATTTAAGGAGATGAAAGGGAAGAAAGAGCATTACATGAAATGGACTGGACGGGAAGGAAATGTTTAATTACTGATGCAACAACAGAATGCACAATGACCCAAAGCAGCCTCCAGATCTGTTCATTCTGTGGGCATTTTCATCTTCCTGCTCATCTTTTGTACTTTTTCATTCCTTTTTATCACACTGCCTATATTATCATAACTCCCAGTGATATATGACTTGGTTTTACAAATGCCTGACTAACTAAATTAAAGAATGAATTACTACAATATTTAAATATCCCTTCAGTAAGCCTTCTTAGCAATTAAGAAACAATGATCATTAGCTGAATACTTATTTAAGCACTCCCAGTTTTAGCAAGAACTGCACAATCAGCAACGATTACACGTTAAAAAACACTTTTGCTCGGCTCTTAAAGGAGAAAAATGTCCAGAGGAAATTCCTAATGGAGATTCCCCAAGGTCACCCCGCCTTCTTTTAGGCTAGGACTCATTTCCGTACTGGTTCAGCTGGCATTCAGCTGTTATGGGGTGTCAATATGGGCAGTGAGTGCTGCAGCTCAAGGTGTTCCTCCATGTCAGCACCCTGCAGAAGGTAGCACCCTACATGCATCTCTTTCACAGAAAGTACTCACTATAAACCTCCATTCTCTGTGACTTATTCACATTACTGACAAGTATTCCTGACCATTGCATGTGTCCTGTTGACCTCGAGTGCGTTGGGCAGCAAGAAATTCCCTGCACATCAGTAGCCTTTCATTTCTCAAGTTAAGCCATTAGTAGGAGCCTGGGCAACCCAGTCCTGAGTGATAAACACATCCAAAGCCCCGACCAACCCTACCCTACCAAGGTCAACCTTCAGTGTTTGCCAACACAGGAGGTGCCCCCAGCACCAGTAACAAAATTTTAGCCCCTTGCTCACACCTACCAGCAAAAGAGTCTTTGAATCCCATTCCTCTCATTTGTTGCAAATTGATTCTGTTGCTGCTTTCTCTACAAATTGCTTTTCTCCCCAGAGATTCAAGCAAAGCTTCTGGCCAGGAACACTGTCAGCTCCAACTTAACTCCTCAATTCAAGCCTTCCTTCTTGGGCGAATTCGTCCTGCTGAGTGACGTGTCTCTGGTGGCGACCCAAGCCTACAAAGTCTAAAGCAAATGCAAACAAGCTCAAAGAGCTGAAGGTGTGCTTTGTGTTAACATGATCAGTGTATTAGGATGACAGCATGGGGACGAGCACGTGGTCTCAGCCACAGCAGCTTCACACATCCCATTGCATTCTGAGGACATTGAGCTGGGTCAGGGCCCAGATGCCAAATACTGCACTCAGCTCCCCCAGCCTTCCTCTGGGTTCTTTTTTTTCCTTAAATAAGCCTCTGGAATATTTTATATGAATATGTAACCCCCTTTTTCAAGAATACAAAAGATCTCACCTGCCATCGCCTCGTTACTAAAATTCTTTGCTGCACACATCTTGACACCACCCATAGACCCACAAATCCAACTTAATATGCTTTTCTTCCAAGAAGGAATGGGTGCTTTTCAACATACTGCTCCATGGCCCCCCACAAACGATTACATGCTTAGGAATTATGCCACTGTGTAAATTCCCAGTACCAAGTAATCTTGCTGCAGACCGAATTCTCACACAAGCACATTCACATCTCCATAACGCAACATATCCCAGGCCCTGAGAGAGGTAAATAATTGATAGGATCCACTCATTTTTCATCTTCTTGCTTTTCCAATTCCTTTTCCTACCGTACATCAGAGTGCTCCTAGGGCACCACAGTGTTGAGAGAGGCAACTTCTGCTGGGGCATCGCACTGCTCAGCGCTGTGGCAGAGGCTGTACTACACACTGGTTAACCCAGCGGGTGCTCGGCCACGTGCTCAAAGCCATCCTGATTATTACAGTATTTCCCAGAATTACTCACTGTGTTCTCAAAGCAGGAAGCTGAATATTCAATGTGTGCGCCAAATCAGGACATCACTTGCCAACCCCTTTGATGAAGGTGAGTGTGCTGTTAAGTAGGACACTGCGTAGTGCAGGATGCACACACAGCAAAGGCAGCTCCTCTGATTTGGGCAGCATTAAGGTTTCAGGGCAAGACGCTCAAAAACATCACGGATAATGAAAAAAAATAATCAGGAACTGGCAAGATTTTCTTCTTCTTTCCCATAGCACTGCTCCTTAGGTGCTCTCATCTCTGGCTGCTGTGCAGTACGTATTTGCAAAGAAAAAAAAATAAAGAGAAACTAAAAGAAGCAAGAAAAGCAAAAGAAGTGAGAGAAGATTGAAGGCCGCATGACAGAAAGAGAAATAAGAGACTGATCCATTTCCTTTGTAGTAATTTTGTGAAGGAAAGACAGCGTTGTACAAAGGATCAACCAGACTGCCTGCACGTCTGATCAACCTGCCCTTCAGAGGGAAAAATCACACCATTAGAGGTGCGCTCTGTGCTCTGCGGGAAACCTCATTACGTGCACTGCTCCCACAGAGCTCTCTCCACCCATCACAACCAACGGGGGCTGAATCTCCCCCCTCTCACACAGCATTTCTTCCCGAAGACGATGCCTGTGCTGTGATTTACAGTGCATCCAGAGTGACTCCCCGTGGCCCTTGGAGATGCACGTGGATCGCACGTCTGTTTGGCAATAATTCTACTCCTACTCAAAGCTCATAAAATCTAATCATGGGGGAGGGGGCGAAAGGGCACCTACATCACCAGAATGTCAGCATCTCCGATGATAATTAGTGGCCACGCATTGAAACATCATTCATCTGCATCCTAACATGCACTTGGCCCCACAGTGATCCAATGCTGCTGGAGGGGCATTAGGAGCAATGTCTGCTCCAGAGAGCGGCCAGGCACTGGCACAACTGCCCAAGGGTGGGCAGTCCCCATCCATGGAGATGTTCAGAGCCACGGGGACGTGGCAGTGAGGGATGTGGGCACTGCAACTGCGGGGTGGGTGGGGGTCACAGGGATCTCAGAGGGCTTTTCCAGCCATCTGATGACTGGAAGATATGATTCTATGATCTCCATCAACCCCCAAGGGGTGCGTACAAACCAGCAACAAGAGGAGCAAGGAGCAAACACCAGAACGCCCCGAACTTCACCGTGATGTTATTAGCTCATCATTTGAACCATTCTGTTCTTTGCAGATACATTGCACGTCTTGTGTCAGGAATTAAGCACAACTGTGTGTGAATCTCAGGATCTACAGTAGCCGTGTGTCCCTTTCCCTCAGCTCGGAAGCCACTCAATCGCCCGCATCAATTAGGGGGCAGCAGTCCGTCAGCTATTTTCGTATTTTCTTGGCTTTAGAGGTTTTAGCGCCTGTGAGCAGAAAAGAAGAATAAATACAGGCCAAATTAAATCACTCCAGCTATCAGACAAATGAAAGTCTTCCCTTTGCTGCCAGCAGCTCTGACCCCACCTCGAGCACAGGTCTGGTCACACATCCTCAGCCCCAGTCATAAATTATGCAGTTGTCAGCTCTATGAATCACAGCCACCATAGGTAATCCGTTTTGTTCCCACAATACAGCTTTCTTCTAAATAAGAAACTGAGCATCACTCTACCTCTGAAATCAGATCTGCTTCGCTTTGTATTGGAAAAAGAAGACAGATTACCCCTAATGGTGCCTTGTATCCTGCTACAAAAGCCCCGGGAGATGCGAAATGAGCAGAATTATATGGAACCAAAGAACACGTGGAGTGAGCTCACTAAGTTGAAAAGAATTACAGAGACGCTTCACGATTTGTAAAATGATAGGAGTGTGAGGCAAAAGGACCAAGTTAAGCTGTGAAAAGAAGATCCATCCAGTTAGGATAAATTTAATTAAATCGCCCCGTCTTCTAATAACTGGGAGCAATACAGAAAAGAGTCTTAGAATCACAGAACGGCCTGGGTTGCAAAGGAGCACAGTGCTCATCCAGCTCCAACCCCCTGCTGTGTGCAGGTCACCAACCAGCAGCCCAGGCTGCCCAGAGCCACATCCAGCCTGGCCTTGAATGCCTGCAGGGATGGGGCATCCACAGCCTCCTTGGGCAACCTGTGCCAGTGCCTCACCACCCTCTGGCTGAAAAACTTCCTCATATCCAACCTAAACCTCCCCTGTCTCAGTTTAAAACCATTCCCCCTTTTCCTATCACTATCCATCCTCGTAAACAGTCATTCCCCCTCCTGTTTATGCACTCCCTTCAAATACTGGAAGGCCACAGGTGGCACATCCCTCCATCTAAGAAAAGAAGATGGGAAGAAAATATGAAACAAAGATGGAATGCAGAAACACTGCAGTCAGGCAGAGGTGAGAGGAGAACACCCAGCCCTGGAAGCAGACGTGGCACACAGCAGGCTATGCTCCCACCACTGCCTTTATTCCCATAGGACTGCAGTCACAGAGAAGAACTCAAAGCCCTTCCACAGACAGTGGTAGAACTACTCCTTTGGTAACTATTCTGACACAGGATTCAATTACTTTGCATCTGTACAGGCCCAGCCATGAAGAGATCAGGATTGCCCTTTGTCCGATGCTTTGCTTGCAACTGTTAACAAGCTGTTTTCTGTGCCCACTCCTGCAAGGTGAAGGGGTTTGAGCCCCTGCCTGCAGGAAAAACACACAGCCATTGGTTAGGGCCCTCTGCACAGGGGAGGCACAAGCAGAACACAACCGGGCAAAGCAAGGCTGCATTCCTACAGAGCAACAATTAAGAGCAAAAATAAAAGGAAACAGCCAGTGCTGCCCCTCAAGCATCTGACCAGAGCAGGCTAAAAATGCAGCGTAGAATGGGAAGGAAAAAAAAAAAAAGAAAACAGGTGGTTTTCAAGCCTGGCTAAATATAGCTGGCTCAATTTTCTTTCTAATGCCTTTAAAGATAGGAACTGACAGCAGAGATGGGGACTCGGGCTGTCCGTGCTCAAACCGCAGAGCGAACGGCACTGGAGGGGACCTGCAGAGGTGACCTGATCCAAACCTGTAATATTTTATTTCACGTCTCAGATGAAGTTTATTTCCACTTTCCCCTATAAAAGTGCTCCCACTTTCGGGCTGTACTTGCCTGCCTGTCTCTGTCCCTTCCCTCTCAGTGCATACACACGCAGGCACTCCTTTCATCCTAAATACACCAGTGTGGCTCTCTTCTTTAAAGCAACGTAAGATCTCAAGTTCTACTTATGTTAGGAGCTAGAAATGTTGAACAGTCTCCTTCTTTCTATTTACTGTACTTTGCTTTTATTATTGCAAGGGCTCCCAGCTCCTCCTTGCTCACCATGGCTTAGCACAGCCAAAACCAGGCACTCACACCCTCAGCTTTTGGCACCTGCAGGTTGGTTGGCTTTTTTTTTTTTTTCCTTTCCTGGCTTTGTTTTACTGTTTACATCCACAATGAATGCTCACTCAGTGCAGCTGTAAGCACAGGTAAAACAAACACCTCGAATCACAGCATCTGCCAGGCTCCTTCCAACCAGGTGCCTCGCTGCACTGCTTCTCCTTTAAACAGCTCTGTATTTTGTACATTGATACAACCCCCCCTCCTTCACTCAGCCATGCCACATGCATTCTGCTTTGTGCACTTCTGTGTATCCCTCCTGTGCTAATCATCCCAGCCTATTCTCCTTTAGGCCCGAACGAGATGTACTACATTAATCAGTTGATTGTTATTAACCCAGTTACATTGTATCTTTGCATAATGCTGCTCCATCTCTAAATCCATAGTCTAATCAGGTATTATGACATCTTTAATGATATTACTTGCGTGCTTCATAGTAATCCTCTGATGATGCATCGGGGCTTTATGGTTAAAGCCTGCTGCAGTCTGAGCATGGGTGCTTTGTGGACCAGGATTGGGTACCAACAAGGCAAGGCTGCTCTGTGTCACAACAGAACGCCCATGTCATGTTCCTATCGGGGAGAGAAACACCACGCCACAACCAGTTTCTATTTCCAGGAAAGAATAAGGAAACAGATGGATGTGGAGCTCTTGGAATGAGTACACAGGAGGGTAACTAAGATGATCAGAGGGCTGGAGCACCTCGCCTATGAGGAAAGGTTGATGGAACTAGGATTGTTTAGCTCAAAGAAGAGAAGGCTCCAGGGAGATCTCACTGTGGCCTTGAAGGGAGCATATAAACAGGAGGGGGAATGGCTGTTTACAAGGGTGGATAGCAATAGGACGAGGGGGAATGGTTTTAAACTGAGACAGGGGAGGTTTAGGTTGAATATTAGGAGGAAGGTTCCAGGGACACCACACTGTGGCTTTCCAGTACTTGAAGGGTGTGTATAAACAGGAGGGGGAATGACTGTTTACAAG